TTCAGACAGGTTTTTATAGAAATGGATCAGGACAAAAAGAGAGGGGGTCTTTTTTCCTGAAACTTTCAGAATCCCTTTACACAGAGGGGACACATGTTGATGTATAAAAGACAGGAACAAGTGGATTTTTGCATAATACATGTAGGTCCCCTTTAAATCGCAACTGGTGCAATATTTCTTAAGAGTATGGCGAATTTGGTGAACAAATTAATTAATTGTTTCAGTTTTAAGATCTTCACAAAAATGAAGGGCACACCACCAAGTCAAAAATTATTTGTTTATCCTTCATGAGATTTGGATAACGAATGTTCAAAACCCAGAGGGACTGAGACTACATTTTCATTTGATAAAAGATACTTTCAAGAACAATTCCGCAAACACCAACTCAACTCATTGTTTTTCCACCCTACACTTTCAAAGATTGAAACCTTGTTCCCAGACCCTTTTTTGCTAGTTAATGTTTGAATACCTATGATGTATAAAAAATCTAATGTGTAAGAGCAGCAAAGATGTCTTCAACACCAAAAAAGGGTCGCTATTCAGCAACTAACGACCTTGAACACATCTAGGTATCGAAACAAACATGGACCCTCAAAAACGTTGGGAAATATTTTGGCTTTCATTTTAAAGTGGTCATCTGTCTTTAAGCCTTTTTTAAAGTAAGCAGCAATAAAAAAAAATCTATGAAAGTCTCATCTTTATATTGTGTGGAATGGCGGCAGTCAAAAGCAAAGCAGTAAATAAAACAATCAATAGCTCGCTGCTGTAATTGCAGCTTGAACACAGATGCATTTTCCTTAAATGTTTATGTACATGACAAGAGAACAGGCCAGTGGATCAATGATGATGAGCATAATAAACATAATAAAGGATAAACGCTGTATTTGTACACAACTATTGAGCTGTTTTTTTGTAACATGTTCAAAAAATCTAGATAAATCATGCTAGGAATCTCAATTTTACATAAAACAACCCTAACTCTTTGATCGTTTAATATCCATCATGTTAGCATAATGTATGGCAATAAAAACCTACTTTATCTCTTTGTCTCTCCAAATACACAATTCAACCAATGTCTGCATACCTTTAGTGTGGATGAGTGGCAGAGAATTTACGCTGGGAATAATATTTACACTGTGGACCACCAACTCTGCAATGCTTACACAGTGGGTCCTGCACACTCACACACACACACACTCACAGTGCACGGAGGAACAAAAACACAGAGAGCTGTCTAGTCAAATCAGCTCTTATGACATAACCTGGTTCAAGTTTTAAACAATAATGCAATGTGGAGCATGTGTGTGTGTCATTTATTAGCCATGCTGTCTTGGAACAAACAGTCCTAGCTGTCACCAAACAACAATCAGCAGTAAATCAGAAATGTGATCAGGACTATACCTCAGGCAGGATGTGCTCACCATAGGAGCATCTGCTATATGTTAGGAACTTACTTCAGCAGCCACAGAGCTTTGAACAAAACAGACATAATGTAATGCAACATTAACATCTGCCAAAACAGCCTGTAGCTTAGTTTTAATTTTCTCTGCTCTACTCTCAAATAAAACATGTGAAAATCCTGTTCAAAAACAGCAATAACAATATTCTCCTTGCTTTGAAATATCTAAACACACCTTCAGTCCTTGTGTAAGCACCAGCGTAAGAGGAAATAGGCTTGGCCAGAATCCCAACCATTAAAAGAAACAGCCAACAAGATGTGCACTTGTAGGATTTCCAAAATGCCTGCGCAGGTCTGCCAATTCTATTTGTTTTTCTCACCAATTTAAAACGCAACTGCTCATACTGCAGGGGTATCCACCATTAACCACACCAAGCAGCGATATGCAAGAGAGAATAACATGCCTTTCATCCCCATGACTTGGTACTTGAGCGTCTACAGTGAGCAGTACGGATACTTTGATATTAATCCCCAAAGATTAATGGCTGATAATTAATCGTTAATCATCTCTCCCTCACATGGAGCTCAGGTTATTTCATACCTCCAGGAGAGGGACCGGGAAAACCACCTCTCTGTAGCCCCTCACAGACCCCCGAAAGACGGACTAAGGACCTCCGACAATTAATTAATTAATTCCCTCGGAGTGTGTTGTGGTAGCCCCAAAACAGAGACCTTGTAGATGCTTTGTATCGCTCAGGGACACCTGGTGGAGTAGAGGATGTATGGTAGTGTGCTTCCAAGTGTGCCAGTTTTGAGAAGGTCTGTATAACTATTAGGACTTTCCTCAAGGCCTCAAATCAAACCTTAAATACACAAAACTATTCAACACATTAAATGTCAGGTTACTCATCCAGGAGACTTCTATTCAATCTGTGAAAACAGATGTATAATGGATCAGTAGGGAACACTTTGATAACTCATTAGTGAGGTTCAGGCTTCAAATGTATAACAGAACAAATACCTTTTACAAGGGGCATGGAGATTGAAAGATAAGGGTAATAACAGACAGGAAAGGTGAAATAAAAAACACAATTGGCCTATGATCAATTACTATTTCCCCATTGGGGGTTGCATGGGGCATGGCAGAACATGAGGACTCAGATTCTATTTTGATATTGGAGATGCAGATATTAATAATGCCATCCTGATATAAGCGGCAGTTCACCCAAGCCAGGTAGCACTTATTCCCAGAGTCCTGAAGGAGAGTTGGAAAAACACACATTTACCAATTTAGAACGATCGACGTTGGTTTGACCCACGTCCAACTGTCAATTTGAATCCACAACTCCATTTCCTTGAGCAGCTTTCCAGCTATGTGCTCATAAAATATCCACACATGTGTATCTAAAGGTGTGTCTACCTGTCTGCAGTATCTACCTCAAACACCTTGTCAAGATCCTCCTCCAAAAGATGCAGCCTTCCAACTCTCAGCTCCCACTTCTAAAAACATCATGCAGTCCTGGTGCAGTCACTCAACAGATATAACCTACAAGCTTCCTGAAGACAAAGCAAAGATTTGAGGAAGAAGACTAGGTATTCATGTTATAATTTTTTTTTGTTATACTTGGCACCCTGCAGATTTGACTCCAGGTACAAAGGAATGTACTCAGGAAATAAATATGACGCAGGTCCTCGTTTCGTCTTTTTACACCGCCCACTTTGCTGCATCAGGATTGAAAGAATATTGCAGTGGTTCATCTTCAAATTATTTTCATAGAGCTTAGATTTGGATGCACATTCTGTTCTTTTTCTCCAGTGTGTTAAAACATCCCACAGATGAAAATTATTCAGGCGGGATGTGCAGCTGAGGGGTAATAATAGACACTAAAACAGACAAAAGCAGCTAAAAGCTGATTTAACTTGGAATATTTTGACATTCTTATAATAAAATGAATGATTTATGGCACAAATGGCAGCCAGAAAATGTGAGAGAGGGATACTGTCAGCTCAAAGATAGTATTTAATCTGCACACGGTGATTAATAAAGGGGGATTTCAAACACATTGGGCTAATAACTTTGAATCATCTTTGAAATTGATCCCAAAACAACTTGAGTGATGCTATCAAGCACTTTAAATCCCCTTAAACTATAACAACAAGGATGAAAGTAAAACCAGTAAAAAGAATAGAGTAAAAATATGTTACTAAATGTGACTGTACTTTTCAAAGTTATGTCAATGGCCTCTATATAGGAAACACTTTCTTTTGTAGCAATGTGGTTTGGCCAAGTCAATGGCTAAATCACTGGAATTATCCGCCATACAGAGAAGCACTATCAGTACACAAGTCTAAAATATAAACCATCCAAATCTCAAGCCAGCGCAACTCTGCAAAAGTAACATTGACTTTCCCAATGAAGACAAGCTCAAGACAACTGCAAGAAGAGAAGCCATTCCTACATAGAGCCACACAACATTGCTCATCTCATAGTCCCAAACAATGGCAGAGATTCATCCATACTGATTGGACAAATGAGCAGATGGATTTCACCAGTGTGGCGCCTGCTACTGGGGATTGTTTAGTCTCATGGGAACACATAGAAAGGCTCATGTTTGCACTTAAAAGCATATGGATCACATACCTTGTATTCAAGGGAAATGTGTCAGCTTGGCAATGCTCACACATTGGGGAGTGAGGACATATTTGGTCTTACCAGGCGTCGGACAGATTTAGGTTTCCAGCATGTGAAAGGATATGGGTTACAGACGACACGAAGACACCAGTTGCGAGGCCTTGTTGTTTGCTTTAGGCAGAGGAAGGCCACGGGGGCCAGGACGGGGTACGGCTGCACTTCCTCCTCCTCGGAGATACAGTCTGGATCCCGAATAGGAGTCCTAATGCAAACTCCCAATCTTGGTCCAACTTCCAGCTCCGGTTCCTGGTCCTCCTGCACCTCAGGACTCCATTCCGCTCCATCGCCACGACCAGTCCGACTCCTCCTCGTATCCACCTCCTCCTCGTCCTCCTCTTGCTCATCGTGGCCTCCCCCGGGGTCAGCATCATGACCAGGGCCGTCGTTCCTGTAGGCCGAAGGTATGGCGAGCCTCACCTCCTCCTGAACCCCCTCCCGCACCTGCCCCTCCGGGCTCTCTGCGAACTGAAAGCGCACTCTCCCCTCGCCATCAGTCATGATAGAGCATCAGGCAGAGCCACTCTGAAGAGGGGGTCAGAGGGAGAGGGGTTAGATAGAGGTGGGCAGTGGGAGGGGTGGAAAGAAGGACAACAATCAATGTGATGAGACAGGGAGAGACGGAGAATAGGAAAGAACATTTGCAGAAATGCAGAGAAACAGTGACAGAAAAAAGAAGGAGGGTGGAAGAGAGAGATCAACTTAGCAAAGAGCAATTGGAGACGTATAACGAGCCAAATAAACACTCTCATTTCTCCTTTAATCCCTCAGCGGCAAAAGTACTTGCGTCCAATAAATCTACACACAGATTATCAATATTCGTTAACTAACCTGGCAGCGTTTGAAGCTTTTCATAAGCTTTCATATCAAACATCTCTCCAGGCTTTTTCTTAAAATGAACTATAGCTGAGATAGAAAATACAACACATAGGATTCTTTGTAAGAACATCTAATAAATATTATATGATTATATAAACAATTAATAAATACAGTAAACTGAGCGTTCAGCAACATAGACCTGCTGTTTCAGTGCCAACATAGTGTAGAAACACATTTATGTATCCATAGCAATAAAGTAATAAACTGTCAATGCCCCATAATTATATTGTGATATAATGGGAATACTGGGGATTTTTTTTCCCCCTCTCACTCGCTCTTCCTGTTGCTATGTGATTGAACAGATGGACTGCTCTGTCTCTGGTCTACTGGAGGTTTTTAGCCCACACCACGCAATGGTGGGCAGGGAATGCGCAAAAAGAAAAAAAAACACAATAAATGCCACGCTAATCCTGATTATTATAATAAGTACAATAACATCGAGCAGGAAACATTAGTCACCATAATCCAGCTAACAGACTTTTATCTTTTACGGTTTTATTTTAATTTTTTTTAATGGGCTTTGTTGTCCATTGTTTGCCGTTATGAGAGACAAGCGCATCTGACGCTTGAGGCAGTTGTATGCTCTCCTAAAGGGAGTGTACTGTATGACAAAAAGGAGGGAACATGTGAAACATGCAGTAATTAGGATAGCTGTTGAAAAGTACTTACGCGTTTCAAATGGTGTCAAAGGAAATGAAAAGAGAATGGAGCGCCCATCACCTGTGTTTTTGTTTTTTCGCCATTCAAAAGTGGACTCAATCCTGGACTCGATGGCAATTAAAACATTAAAAGGCAAAGAGGAAAAGTTTATGATTTAAAAATACCTTATCGAGACGGAATCGGAAGTTCCCATAAGCATGATCCGTGACTTTCCGTGTTTCTAGCGCACCCAGCCTTTCCCAGCAACCCGGAGCTTCCCTTTCCTTTCTTTTTTTCCTCTCTGCAAATCTCCTCACTTCTTTTGCTTTTCACAGATCAAAAAGGTAATCCGAAAGACGTTGTAAAAAAAGAAAAAGAAAAATCACTGGAAGTAATGAAAGAATCACTTAAAGCGGTCTTCATTTGCTATCCACATCCATGCAACCATCAATCCGTCCATCCTCGCTGAGGTGTTGTTTTACGCAGCGTGGAGCGGAGATGCGCGCCAGGGTCGAGCCGTGCTGAAGCTCCGTGGATGATCTGACACAGAGAAACTTGGCCCAGGACTCGGGAGTCCTGACACGTGACGTGGACGGCCCGGCTATAGGAACGTAACGCACAGTAGGAGACACACACGCGCGAAAAAAAAGCCAGGAAGAGCCAAGCCGGGCGCGCACGCCCCGCTGTGTTTCATGCATCACCATGCAGTCAGCAGAAGATAATGGAGATGGAATGAAACATGTATTAGCCCATACCCTCTGTGGGAGTATGCCACAGAAACACAATGAAACGTCATTATTATTATTATTTTATTTTATGTATTATTTATTATATTATGTTCTTGAATTTGTAGCCAGTAAGTGCTTCTGTATGAAAACACTACTGTATACAATGGGAGTTAAGAGAGATGAATTGTGTCTCTATTTTTTCAGTAAAAAAAAAAGAGAGTATAGACCTATAGCCTTTATTTCCCCTGACGTTAATTCATGTCTGTTGGGTTGAGCAGATTGTATTTCGGGATTTCCACTACACGTTGGGGTGCTGCAAACAGTGCGGTAAAACAATACAAGAGAAACTGGGCTGCAAGAAGATATTGAGCAGTGGCCATATTTGTAATTGCAGGACATGACGCCAAATTAACTCAATACATAACTCATACACTCAAAATTACTCTTTTATGACCAATTCAATAACGATAAAAGTCTCAAAGAGCCATATTACAACATTTTTGTTTTGGGGACAACTGTCGTGTTGGTTAGATTTGCTTTATGATATCTGATTTAGGCCATAACATTGGTGCCAGATCAGCCTTTTTTGAAAAAATATCCAATTATATAATTTGATTTTGAAAATCTGAACCAAATATCCCTTGTTAGTGGACAAGAGTAGCTCATGATACTCAACAGTCAGCAGGAAGTCACCTTGCTTAGCACGAAAAATACATCATCGGGTGTAAAATACACAAACGCTTGAAACGTGTGTGTGTGCGGTGAGCAGTGTAAATCAGCCATCTTGGAACTTGCCATCTTCCTGTGGTAAACATTTTCTGTCAGTTTCATCATGCTGAAAAAAACTGAATGAGAACACAATGCCAACATTGGGAAAACACAGTATTTGCACACACAATTTATATTTTCTGCAGTCAACATGTTAAGCATATACGTCAATGTTTAGTACCTGTTGTTGCATCTGTCAATTCTTTAGGCGTTCTGATCTTTACAATTAATTTAAACTCCCATGCTGCCTGAATGATTGATCACGAGGTACACTATATTTAATGAAGAGTGTTTCAGAGAGAGGCTGAAAATCAAAGATTGAAGAAGACAGGGTGTTGAGCGGACGGACATTTATGCTGGGGTAGAGTTTAATGCTGTAGATTTAGGATCCTCACGATAGGAGCATATGCTGACTTAAACACCATAACAAGAACCTGGCAGAAACTGGGCAGTCATAGATGTTAGGATGGGGAGGATGAAAGGGCTCCACTTTTGAATTGAATCCCACAGAGTTCATTTGACAGATTTGTGGGAGATTTGGGCAGGGCAACAAAGTCAGAAAAGTCATCCATGTGTTCCTGGTGGATCGCTTACTCTGGCACTCAGGAAAAAAACAATAAAACTTGGTTTAACTAGTGCTGCTTTTGTTCCCACTGGAGAGGGAGCAGATGTCACTGCAAAGAACAAACGCAAGCCTATAGTCTTTAGGACGGAAGTAATGAAAACACTGGTCAGTCTGAGTTTTTAAATCCATCAATCATACAAAAAACCCAGTACAATTGACTTAATATAGCTTAGTGTTAGTGTGTGTGTTTTCATAATGTCTTGAAATGGTATGAAAAGGAAGTGACATCACATGTTGGTTGCATTTATGTGCCGTTAAAACGAGAGTTAGAAAGCCACACCTTCAGAATATATTGAAAATCAACACTGTCAGACTTTGAATTTTGCATTTTATTGATGTCAGGACAACCAAGGTGCTTACAAAAGTGAATGCCAGATCGTCACGTCATCCAGGAACACAAAAGAAGTATTGCGCCACATTCGTTTTTTGTCAATTTAAAAAGTAAATTCAATAGTGTAAAAGCCCTTGTGTCATGTTTTGTATAAAAAATGTTTGGCAGTGCCTTGAGTGACGTATTTTTGATTTAATGAATATTTGATGAAAAGCAGATACAACAATACTGTGTATCTTATTGGTCCAATAAATATTAAAGTGTCCATCAAGCTGCAAATAACCGTGGTTTGAAATGATTACTAGTTGATCTCACTTTTTATTATTTATTAAGACACATTATACTACTAAATTATTAACCTCCCAGTCCTGATAAACTTTATTTTTCACAGCATCAATGCTTCGTTTCTCTATATTTTGTGAGGCAGGAGGACGATTACATTTTATACCAATTCTTCTTCAAACTTAGACTAAGTCCTTTAGCAAAGTCTACACATATGCAGACAGAAAGGGTGCATAATGGAATTGAAAGGCCAAGTTGTAATCCCTTAATCTTTGTGCACATACATACAGAGTCATATGAAAAATATAATCTGCTGATCCTGCTGTATTTAGCCTCAAGTCTGCATGTGGCACAATAACTGGTTGTTCAAATGACACTGCAACTAGCGATTTATTGAACTGGGTTAATATTTAGATTTTCGAGAGTTCAATGGGGCTAACATCTGCTTTACAATCTAAATGTAACGTTCCCCGATTTGGGATTAATAAAGTATCTATTTTATTATCCATCTATCTAACTCAGAATGATGCAACATTTAGGAAGGTACTATTTGTATAGGTCTGTTCCAAAATGGCAATAGTTTGACTTGGTGAAAAACACGAGGAAAGTAGAAATGTCAGCTGAATCTGACCATATATGGAATTTCAGGGCTCTCCAAGACACACATACTGTATGAGTTTCCCCTAATTTGACTTCCAGTCCTCAGTTTCTCCATTGATTTCCAGCCCCTTGTAACAAAAACAGCGATTGTTTTTACAAATGTCTCTAGGGACAGTATTCACCATGTTCTGTGGTTAAAAACTATAGCAAACTACTTTTGTGCTAACACAGTGACAGTTAGACAGTGTCAGTTTGTTGCTATGGAAACAGAATGTTGAGAGTATCTTGTTTAGTTTTCAGCTGGTAAATAAACAACACACACCAGAGATGAGAGCAGCGTCACTGCCTGCAAAATCAGCCAATGTATGTCTATGGCCAACATTTCATCACAGCTTCACTGTTACGGCCCGTCTACACAGCAGCGTTAAAGAAATCTTCCAACGCTTCTGCCCATTCACTTTGAATGGGGTGACGTCACGTTGCCTCACTTTTCGCCGAACTGCATTGTGGGAAGCAAAGCGAAGATTTCCGGATTTTTTCAGGATTCAAAAGTTGAGCAATGTTCAACTTTTGAAGCTGAGGTGGAAGCGTCAGCCAATCAAATCTATCAAAAGTATGCAAATCTGATAGTACAAGCGCTAGCCAATCAAACCGCGTGCAAGCTGGGAGTGACATACCGCAGTTCATTTTCTATATTCCTAAAAATGGAGGAGAAATTAGTTATTGCGGTAGCAAATTACCCGGTTCTTTATGACCAGTCCCTATTAACTTACCGGGATACAAACCGGAGGAACCAGGCATGGAGGGAGGTGGCAGAGACAGTGGGTGAAACTGGTAGGTTTTCGCCTGTTTGGGGATTTCATATCCAGTTTACTTCGTTTTAACATTGCTATTGCTTTGTATGTCGGGGGCGGGAGATTCATCTGATTGGTTGTTGGTCGCAAAAAATCCCCAAGCTTCAGATACGCCCACCTCCAAGATTTTTTTAACGCGGCTGTCACGGTACGTCCACACAGCCGCGTTAAAAAAATCTGATGCTAATGACATTCACGTCAATCGTCTAAGTCAGGGTTCAGCAACCCGCGGCCCTCGAGCCGCATGCGGCCCTTTAAGCCCTCTGCTCTGGCTCCCTTGAGTTTAGACAAAAATAAGAAGAAAATAAAAGGTATTTGTAGGACTATTTAAATGTTGTTGCATGGTTGAAAATGTTTCGTATCTTGTATTTTGAGGTGATACTGTGACACATAAATAAAAAACAAAACGGTTTTAATTAGGTCAACTAAAATATGCGTCACATCCTGCTACGGTCCCGCGCCAGCGCGCCTTTTTTCTGCGGGTGAATAACCTGACCCCCGGCTCGATGAGCGAACTATGGATAAATCAAAGAAAACTAAAGAGTACCGGAGGAACACAGGATTTAATTCTGCGTGGACATAGTTATATGGTTTCTCAGCAAACGATGCTGGTTTACCGGTATGTTTGATATGTAGAGAGAAGTTGTCAAAGGTGCTGCAGCCTTTACGTATCGAGGAACAACACGGGAGAGGAAGACAGCTGACGATCTTCAGTCATAATTCAATGGGGTATGTCATTTATTTCAGAAAACAGTTTCTTTTATATTCCATGGAATTCTCTTAACATCCCGNGGTTACCTTGGTTGCTGATTGGCTAATGGTTACACAAGACAAAACATCATTATGACATCACAAAGTGGCCAAAATCTGATCAGCTCATTTTCAGACAGGACCTGTCTGAAAATGAGCTGATCAGATTTTGGCCACTTTGTGATGTCATAATGATGTTTTGTCTTGTGTAACCATTAGCCAATCAGCAACCAAGGTAACCCCCCCCC